TGGTGGTGCGGCTAGATATCGACCCGGGGAATTGCCTGGGACCATTATTTTCGCGATCGGAAGAACCCCTGAGGCACTTTTGGCGCGCCCCGTCATTTAAGGGACGATTAAGGGATAAGGGATATGAGGCACGTGTGAAGTTAGTGGTGGTGCGGCTAGATATCGACCCGGGGAATCGCCTGGGACCATTATTTTCGTGATCGGAAGAGCCCCTGAGGCACTTTTGGCGCGCCCCGTCGTTTAAGGGACGATTAAGGGATAAGGGATATGAGGCACGTGTGAAGTTAGTGGTGGTGCGGCTAGATATCGACCCGGGGAATCGCCTGGGACCATTATTTTCGCGATCGGAAGAACCCCTGAGGCACTTTTGGCGCGCCCCGTCATTTAAGGGACGATTAAGGGATAAGGGATGTGAGGCACGTGTGAAGTTAGTGGTGGTGCGGCTAGATATCGACCCGGGGAATCAACTGGGACCATTCTTTTCGCGATCGGAAGAACCCCTGAGGCACTTTTGGCGCGCCCCGTCATTTAAGGGACGATTAAGGGATAAGGGATATGAGGCACGTGTGAAGTTAGTGGTGGTGCGGCTAGATATCGACCCGGGGAATCGCCTGGGACCATTATTTTCGCGATCGGAAGAACCCTTGAGGCACTTTTGGCGCGCCCCGTCATTTAAGGGACGATTAAGGGATAAGGGATATGAGGCACGTGTGAAGTTAGTGGTGGTGCGGCTAGATATCGACCCGGGGAATCGCCTGGGACCATTCTTTTCGCGATCGGAAGAACCCCTGAGGCACTTTTGGCGCGCCCCGTCATTTAAGGGACGATTAAGGGATGAGGGATGTGAGGCACGTGTGAAGTTAGTGGTGGTGCGGCTAGATATCGACCCGGGGAATTGCCTGGGACCATTATTTTCGCGATCGGAAGAACCCCTGAGGCACTTTTGGCGCGCCCCGTCATTTAAGGGACGATTAAGGGATAAGGGATATGAGGCACGTGTGAAGTTAGTGGTGGTGCGGCTAGATATCGACCCGGGGAATCGCCTGGGACCATTATTTTCGCGATCAGAAGAACCCCTGAGGCACTTTTGGCGCGCCCCGTCGTTTAAGGGACGATTAAGGGATGAGGGATGTGAGGCACGTGTGAAGTTAGTGGTGGTGCGGCTAGATATCGACCCGGGGAATTGCCTGGGACCATTATTTTCGCGATCGGAAGAACCCCTGAGGCACTTTTGGCGCGCCCCGTCATTTAAGGGACGATTAAGGGATAAGGGATATGAGGCACGTGTGAAGTTATTGGTGGTGCGGCTAGATATCGACCCGGGGAATCGCCTGGGACCATTATTTTCGTGATCGGAAGAGCCCCTGAGGCACTTTTGGCGCGCCCCGTCGTTTAAGGGACGATTAAGGGATAAGGGATGTGAGGCACGTGTGAAGTTAGTGGTGGTGCGGCTAGATATCGACCCGGGGAATCAACTGGGACCATTATTTTCGCGATCGGAAGAACCCCTGAGGCACTTTTGGCGCGCCCCGTCATTTAAGGGACGATTAAGGGATAAGGGATGTGAGGCACGTGTGAAGTTAGTGGTGGTGCGGCTAGATATCGACCCGGGGAATCGCCTGGGACCATTCTTTTCGCGATCGGAAGAACCCCTGAGGCACTTTTGTCGCGCCCCGTCGTTTAAGGGACGATTAAGGGATGAGGGATGTGAGGCACGTGTGAAGTTAGTGGTGGTGCGGCTAGATATCGACCCGGGGAATCGCCTGGGACCATTATTTTCGTGATCGGAAGAGCCCCTGAGGCACTTTTGGCGCGCCCCGTCGTTTAAGGGACGATTAAGGGATAAGGGATACCTGCTAGGGCAAAATTAATGTCATATTCGTGCTCCCCGTCCCCGAATTGACCAGATATGACGTTTTCAAGTGATTCGGTACTCGACGCTGAATACGAATCCGAATCCGACGCCAACTTCACGCACATTATGGATCCAGTGTCCAGTGGGATTGGCCAAGGCCCTAAATACAAGGTTGCACGGACTAATTTGTACTAAACCTACTAGAATATAGTTTTACTGTCGGGTATTTTAATAACTATTCAATCAAAACTTCTTTATTATTTTCTCGTTATCATTTATAAGCAATTTTATAAATTGACTTTCAATTTGCTTGCCTTTTACTGGCAAAGTAGCTTTCTAGTTTTGGGTCAACATAGTTGTGTAGCAGTAGGAACCATATCTGGCAAAACCCCAATGCCTACATACAGCAGAAAAGCAGCCACCAGGTGTCGCCACAGTCGCCACTTGGTCGCCACACAGATGTCGCGCGCGTCGCCAATCGCCACACTACCGATTTCCATAAGGACGCATATGTAGGGATATGTATTGGAAAGTCGCCCTTAAGGATTACGCTTACATCCTTTGCTTATGAGGTCGGTGGTTGGAAATTGGGAGGGGCTCAGCTATTTTCGACCACGGATATGGCTTTATCACATGATGAGGAACATGCTGATAAGCGTTTTATGTGTCATAACAGCACAAAAGTATTTTTAATCATTTTTCAAAAATAGCCGTTCTGCCGTATCTTTCAGTGCAAGGTGCCGTCGGTCATCCCCGACGTTACGTCACGCCGGGGATTGCCAGATTTTCCTACTAGACTTCGACGCCCCCTGGGATTGGCTAAGATTTCCGGCGATTGATAAACGCTTCTATGATAGTACACCTAGTCCTACTGAGTTATGAGGGGAGGTGACGTGAGGGACCTGACCTTACTAAACTCTTGTGAAAACACGATACATACGAACGGTAAGAAACCGACAGCCATTCTTTCCGCCAAGTGTCATCTTTCTGTGAAGGATTTCTTGGCACTGAGTGTTGAGAAATTGCGTTGTTTTTGGACTGGGTAGAGGCTCACGAGCGACAACATAGCTCAACAACCTGACGTACCTTAAATATGCGACTTGTACCAGAAGATCCAGCTTGATCAAAAGATTGGACATGTCAAAATTCAGCTCTTTAGCTGAAAAGAATTTTGAGCTGTCGTAAAAACCGTCAGTGTGGCACCATATCGCCTCCCCGCGCGGTCGGAAGGTAAAAGTTCGCCGGCTCTAACTAAACAAATAGTCGTCGTATCGCAAATTCATTGACGGCGTTCGAAGCGTCGTTCAATTTACTTTCGAAACATATCCTAACATTAACATTTAACTGCCTAGCGCAATCTCCAACAAGCAAAAGTTCCGTGCATTCACCCTCATACAGTGTTAGCGGCCGCCGGCCGCCGGCCGCTGACCCACATTCGCGTCATCAGGGAATGCCGCAACTAATTTATTGTTTCCAACTTTTTTCCCGGAGCGTTCTACCTGGTTTATATAGCCTTGGTCGAGCGGAAGGGGGACTAGTTGTGTTTTGGCTGTGTTTCGACGTTTGTGGCGCGTAGCACGTGTTTTATGTAGTGGTTGTGTGTGTGGTGTTTGGTGTTTTTTTCAGGAATTGTCGGAAATGCCTTGAATTTCTGCTCCGCGAAGCTGCTAGCTACTGAATTTAAATTACTTGAAACCTTCACTGTAAGCACCAGATTGAGATAATTCGGTTTGTCAGCATGATGCACGAGGCTGAGACTTGTCATCGTACCAGTACATCAACATTGAAATCCAGTTATCAGTATGGATTGGAACTAGCATGAGCATGGGCCAGTGGAAAATTGTCTGAGATAGCTAATTGGTTGGTTTGGATTTAAAGGGACTATCCCACCTTCACATTAGGTTTGAGTTGAGATAGCCAAGTTTGTGGGGAGGTTCAGAAACCACAATTTACCTTGGTCGCAACTCCTGAAGCCTTGTGGTGTTGAAGAAATTTGTCCCCTTCATTTGAAAATGTTCCCTGTGCAAGTCCTCATCTCTGATGGCAATCTGATGACGTCATTTGCATTTTGAACGCCTGTCACGCATTCAAGTGAAGTTTCACTTGATTTACGAAAAGCCAATCAGAGACACTTTTTTATTGTATGAGCTGCGTCATATTTGAGAGCAAATACCTTCATACATTTGCTGCCAAATTTCCCCCACATTGAGGACGACGGTGAAAACAGGGCGCCTGGGGCGATTTGATCAAGGTTCATTAAATTTACACGTGACGTTTGGCATATAGAAGGCCCATAGAGCGGGAGAAGTTCCAAATGTCACGTGACTAATATGCCCTCCGGCGCCCTGTTTTCACCGGCGTCCCACATTGACATGAAGTAAATCCTTTGTTACGTCACTGATCCGATCTAAATGACGTCACGATGAAATATAAAAGTCACAATATCTCAAAAGGTATACAATGAAAACGCGTAAAAACTTGCAGAATTTGTCACAATATCATGAGTAACATTTCCGAATACTAAATGGTATTTTTATGAAGATGGAATCATAGTCCCTTTTACCTTTAATAGGTTAAGTCATGTTAGGTCAGGATATGGTTTTTTATTCAGAACTGTGCTTTTCTTAGTTTTTACACTGGATTTCAATATATGCATCATGTAAGTTGCAAGTTCCGCCTGACTGTTTCTCATTGTCAAACTTTCAAAGTTCTTATTGTGTGTCCCGCACCACATATAATCTGAACATTATGAATGGCTGTACTTTCCTATTCATGGTATCTGGTAGCATTTAGCATGATGGTGTTGGTAATTTAACTAGGTACCTGCGTATCCTGGGCCCTGTTTGGTCGCTGTTTTTATATCAGCGTGCTGTCGGTTTTCCCCATATACGGAAGTTGTTGCTGGCGAGGCTTGGCCTCTCATTGGTCTAACGAATAGACCACTTGAATTCGACCAATGAGGAGCCAAGAAGTAGGAGCATGGTCGCAGCCTGCTGATAAATAAACGGGGTGTGAACAGAGCTCAGGTCCAACGATCCAACTCCAATGCGATTCTTTGGAATGTGAGGGTACCTACCTAGTACCTATACGATGGACTGAAATGCACTAAAAACTGTCTGTGTTCAATGGCTGTTTTGTGCAACAGATCTTCAGCCAGTGCTGCCAAATCTATTCCATGGCCTTTGTAAGATTGTTCCATTGTATATTCACATCATACCCATAAAAGGCATGGATGCATTAATCCTCTTTTTTTCCCTCTCTGTGACCTTTGCTTTTGTGACTGTAAATGAATTTTGTTCAGTGTTATTTCAAAGTTGGCATGAGTCGTAATCAGTCATAAAATGTAAATTTCTTGAAATTACTGCAATCATCATTTGCAGTCAGTTCAAGGTAAGTCAAACAGGCTGTCTTATTTGATGGAAATGGGAATCATTTGAGCAGGGCAGATAATGTTTTGCTTCATTGGGCATTCCAAATAGGCATGTTTATCTCAAATCTGCTGCTATCACTTGGATTTGCCCCATTGAACAGTGGGGCCCTGGGACCAGGGTCTGACATGCAATAAAGTGTGTTTATGCTTGTCTAGGTCTTTCACTGGTGCATTCAAACATGTTATCTGTCTAAAAATACCTTGAAAATTTCTAAATAACTAGAACTCTATGAAGCAAACATGTGATTTGTTTAAAGGAAATAGTTCACTTTTAACATGGGGTTTTGAGCTGGAATAGCAGTTTCGTAGCTTGAGCTGAGACTAGCACAAATCGGGAGCTTTTACGGCTCAACGATCACCCTAGACGAAGATATTCCATTTCTCGTTCCGAAAAGAGTGCCTTGTAGAGGAATGCGTGCCTTGCACAGAAATGCAGCCATGTCATCGTCAGCCAATCAGCGTGCTGCTTACAGCCAATGCAGTATGCGTAGGTTTGAGCTATGCAATATGATTGGTCAATGCGTAATAAGCTTCCGCGCCAAACATTATTTTACATAGAATATAGTTCGTCCTATATTAAAATATAGAAAATAATTGTTTTTACAAAAAGGTTTTATTTTATTTCATGATTATTTTGAGCATAAAAAATCATAAATCAATAGCAAAATACTGATTTCAGGAAAGTGGACTGTTTCCTTTAAGGGCGTGTAGCAAATTATTGATTATTATTTGTGATCGAATCATCTAGTGTAGATATCTTGCGGGCTTATGCGTTGCTATTTTTTTTTTAATTTATTCAAGCAGTTAGGTATGCTATTTATAATTCACCATGTTTTGTTTGTCATTGTTTCTTCCATTTTAATTTCCAGCTTCCAAATGACAGCACTTTTTAGCTATTGCCTAGGCCTACCATCTGGGGCATAGACCACTATATAGCACGATATATAGTGGTCTATGTCTGGGGGATACTCGAGGGCAGCGCTTTTCGAGGAGCGCTGTGGCCCGAAGGTTTGGACTTCGAATTGTGAAAAACGCCCGCCCGCCGCAAAACGCTAACACCGCGAAACGCGCAAAACGCACGCCCGAAACGCCAACGCAAACGTCGCAAAAAAATAAACAAACGCCCGCCCGCCGCAAACCGCAAATAAAAAAGACGCAAAACGCCGCAAAACAAAACCGCCCGCATCGCACGCCCGCTAACCGCCACCGAAAACGCCTAAAAATCGCCCGCCCGCCGCCAAAAGTAAACACCGCAAAAAAACTTAAAAGCGGCCGCCAACCGCAAACAAATTTAACACCGCAAACGACGCAAAAAAGAAAACCGCCCGCATCGCCCGCCCGCCCGCCCGCCGCCAAAGACAAACACCGCAAAAAACACAAAACGCCCGCCCGCCGCAAAACGTAAACACCGCAAAACGTGAAAAACGCACGCCCGAAACGCCAACGCAAACGTCGAAAAAAATCGCCCGACCGCCGCAAACCACACAAAAAAAAAACGCCGAAACGCCGAAAAAATAAAACCGCCCGCATCGCACCGACGCTAACTGCTAACCGAAAACGACTAAAAGTCGCCCGCCAGCCGCCAAACGCAAACACCGCAACAAGCGCCCGGCCGCAGCAGGATAATAATTTATCAACGACTGGCATACCGCTAGGATTCCAGAGATTCAGCTTTTTGGTCATTTTCACAAATCAAAAAGATATCTGCAAAAATCTCCTAGATGAAAGCGCCCAATCAAAAAACGGATGGCACGTGCGTGCAAGATTACTTTACTACTCAGGTTGGTTCACTAGGGAAAAAAAGGCGCCGTAGTTACGTCACGGATTTGGTAGCAATCTGGTAGCAATTTTTGCAGACATCAATGGCGCACGTGTTGTTTGATCGTCGCCAATCCTATTTTACTGCACTATTTTGTTATTTCACTGCAATGTATTTTACATAACATTTGAAAATTAAAATAAAGAAATATTCGTAACCCAGCAAGTCAGTTATTCTTTGAGGCAGCACTCTGTCAGCATTGAGCCTTCAGAATGTGCCATTTGATAGACTTTCCCACATTATCTACTCTTGTGGAAAACTTTCTTAAGTCATCAAAAATGTATGCTCATATGAATAATTAGAACTTCATATTCAAAGTTTTATAGAAATAAAATTTCACATTACATTATCATAAGGCTACCTGTCCATTTCATCCAACCAATTAAATATTTATCCAGCAGAAGGGAGGTACCTCTGAGAAGGTACTGATATCTCTTATCTACACCAATATTTCAGGAAAATGACAGAGACTGAGAAGCTATTAAAACTTCAGCGTATGAAAGGGATGTTATGACTTATGTACCTTGAAAAACATGAGATGCTTTTGAACCATCTCATTCACCAGCAAACATCGATCCGGCTCCTGGCTTCTGTCAAGGAAACATTTCAAAATAATGCATTATTTTATTTCATTGACCACCTTGCAAAAGACAAACAGCAAACACATCACCACCAAAAACAAAAAAAAGTCAACAGGTAGGTAGGTACCAGCTGATCTAGCCGTGCTGTGTCATGTGCCTTTGAAAAACTTTAGCAGTCAGGGTTGAATAAACACCCCAAAGTTAGCCATTCATGCATGAACAAGTGCAAAATCTGGTCGAGCATTTTAATAAAAATGAAACCAACAGCATTGTAGGTTACAATTATAAAAGAGACAATTACAAAAAAACAAAAATAACAGCACAGCTTACTCTACAAGGTATAACCATTAATTTTATAACTGACATCCAAATTCGCATCTCCGAAGTTTAACCCACCTACCAGCCACCTGCATATTTCTGCGCACATGTGCTGCGCAGTGTGCACAGTCACTACACATTACACAATTATGAGAATTAAAATAGTTTTGAACAATCAAACAAGTCAGGACTGGTATGCAGATTCACAAGTTCTCTCAACATCTTCAACTACCAACAATCAAGAGCACCTTGTGATCTCAGTAACTCCGCAGATCCATCTTCTGTTTTCCATTTTCAGTTTTCAATTGAAATATAAGTTCCATCTGGGAGACACATGTTGCATCATTATGTTTAAACAATTATTATGCTTGAACTTTTGGTTCTTCATGTGAACTTCACTTCAAAAGTTGATTCAATTTTTAAAGTTGATATAATTTGTATAATGCTACGATCACGGCGCACCAAATCACAGATAACTTGAAAATAACCAAGCAAAAGCCACATTCTTCAGCAAACTATGAGAGCTATCTGATCCATGATGCATTGAAATAATTAACAATCGCCAAAATAAGTCAAAATATGACAATTAAATTAGTATAAACTTCATAAAACTTTTATTTGTGAGGCAATGCGCAACAGAAATGCGAGGGAATATGGTAGTAATCTGGTAGCAATTATGAAGGATTTCCCCTGTAGATGATAAAAATCACAAGAAACAAATTTTTAACGCAGAGGAAATCCTTCATTATGAGTTGCAAGGACCATTTGATTGGCCCATTTTGGTCAAATATAGGCCGATTGTTTCGATTTCAACCCCATTTATCGTGATGAGATGAATCCATTGGCTTAGTGGTATGTCTTTTGAACACATATAGGCCTTGGATTTTTCCTTAGCCTGCCTGAAACACACCATGATTAGCATGCATTGCTATGGGTGAAGGAAAATTCATGCGCCGTGATGACGTCACGGTAAAGGAATTCTGGAGCTCGTGAACGGGGGCTGCGTGCGTGTTCCTCGCCCCCAACTTCCTTCAGGTCAATCGTCATTTGGGTCACCTAACGCATTGACGACCGGCAGCGGCGTATTTAGAAAATCGCGAGGGGGGGGCCAAGGGTTTGGAGGGCGCCACCTCACCCCAGGAGGGCGCCATACGGTCGCGAGATAAAAATCCGCTCAGCGGGGGGGGGGGGGTGGAGGCGTTTTTTTACCACGCCACCAGTTTTTTTTTGCGTGACTTGGTATATAGGTTATGCTGCATTGATTTGGCATCGTGTGTATTTTGTTTTTACTCCAGGCCAAAAAAGGTCAAGTCACCCGCTCAGCTTAAGTGACAATGCTTAAAACTATTTTTAAGTTAGATCACTTGACATGACCTAATGACCTTGCTTTTAGCGACTATGGTTTGCATTTTTAGAGCACGTGTAAGAGCAATGTATAACCAAAAGGTGTGCCCCTCCCGCTCACCCACTTCCCTCTCTCCCCCAGGAAAAAAACGGAAGCTCGTAACGTAGTGGTACCTTTTTCGGATCTTTTTTAACCGCATGTCTGAAGAAACCTCCTGGCGCGGGTTCATCTCACACGTGACAAAAAGGTTGCAAGTTATTGGCATAGGTACTAAGTTCCTAGTAAAGAAGAGTTTGTGAAATGCTGCGCCGAAGGCGCGCGAAATTTTTGAAAACAACCTTTTCCTCCGCTTTTTAGGCACATTTTTTGCGTGCTCACTGTTCAAAGCTCTTCCCGCTCTTTTACCAAATTTTAAGGTGTAAAAAATGCCTAAGATTTGGTGGGGCCGGTGCCACACAAGCTGTATAGAAAGCTTCGCCCATGGGTGACGATGTAGAGAAGTATATTGGCGGTGGCATACACACCAGATCACCATATCGGATTGATACCGGAGCGCGAGGTGCGTAAACACAAGCGCACAACGAGAAGGCGGCAACAACAGAAAGAGAAACCATAACAGGGCTGTTTCTCATGAGATCGATTAGCCTTCTCGGGCTTCTCATCCAAATTACCTCGACCAGCCCTCATGTCCTTCTCACAGATGCATACAGTGTTGAGCACCTTCAATCACCGAAACTTGGACGCCAATGGGTAGAAGGGCGGCGATCAAAAGGGGGGCGCCAATAGGCAAGAAGGCTCCGATCAACAATCAACAGGAGGGTGCCACCATGGGTGAAAGGGCGGCAAGGAACAGGAGAGCACCAAACCAATAGATAGGAAGGTGGCGATCAACAAGAG